AAAAAAAAAAAAAAACCTTTTGCTGTTTTAAGCAACTTTAATTTTATCTCCTGATGAATAGGTCGATATTAACAAATTACAGGAAAGTCATATGACGTGGTCAGTTTCACAGCCCAAAATCCAGACGCAACAGTGTTCTTACCTTCTGCCTCGGACTCAAAAATTGGTATGCATTTTCCTGCGCAATTTTTTTTTTTATTAATTGGATCTTGAAAAATTCAGTTTTATCTTTATGGCTGTCATGATTGTATTGTGAAACAGCTTAATTGTAATTCTATTTAGACACACATACCTGCTCATAATTATCTAATGGTTTGACAATGTACAGGCAATGCCCTATAGGTTTTTTGTGTTTTTTTTTGGGTACCTCCCTTACAAAAGCTACACTAATCAAGTATGCCCTGATGGCTTGTTACTGTTGGTGAGGTGGAACTAAAAGTTCCACTAGTCCCTCCTCTTACTTCTCCCCCATATTGGCGAGAATGTCTTTGCATTGGTTTCCTTCTTGCAATGTCTGGACTATTGGAAAATGCCCTATAGGTTTTATCAGGTTTAGATATACCTTTGGCAGCATCTGAGTTGTAATTTGTTATTTTGGCTCGAACACAAACTTTAATGCTGCGGGCAATGCTCTGGTTAAACCTAAGAACTGAGTTACTTGAACAAACCTTATTGACATTGTATGTCGTTATAATCAACTATAAAGCTAAAGCTAATCTATTAGATAGGAATTTACATTACAATTATGTTTTAGGGCTTTATCTGCTGGTATTGCTGTGGCTATTCATAGTCATATTCTTATAAATGTTGCATAAATACCATTGCATCTCTATGTTAAGAGTATTATTTATTTTGTACATTTAATTGATGTGCTTATACATTGTTTTCTAAGTGAATTCCGCATCATATTTTAATCTGTGTTTGTTTATGAAAATAGATGCAAGGCTTTTAGTATCAAGTTCTAGATGGAGCTGAAGGATTTAATTAAGTTTAACTTTTACCAAGTGAAAAACAAATTAGTTGATTCCAAATCATCCCTACTTTTTCTACTTTTTTTTTTTAATCTTGTCTCATCTAGAGCAACTTTTGAACTCAAAACCCTTTTCAACCCAATGCAGTAGTCATATACAAACCTTCTGAGTTTTATTTCTCATGGACAGGTTTCAGGTTTATGTGTATAAAATAGGATATCTAGATCTAAATTTTCGATGGTGGATTTGTCTCCCTTTTGTAAAGAGTGTACTAATTATTTGGGGTGACTACAAAAGTCATGTTTGACCATTATTCCTAATCAAAGATCATATTTTCTGCTTATCTACAAACTATCATATCCTTTTTACAATGTTAGTTAAAATTCATTTTGATCTTCTTCTATCCCTATTCCCTACCATTACTCTCAGTAGCAATATCGTCACTCTTCGTCATTGGTGTATTATTGGGTCTTTTATTACATATCCAAATGATTTAGGTTGATTTTCTTTTAGTTTTTGTCTTATATGCATTTCTATATATATTTTTCAAAAATCACCTTACATCCATCCGAACATTCTCTTTTTTTGTCACACTTAGTTTTCTTATCATGTTTTTTAATTGTCCAACATTTAATATCATAAATCATGGTTAATCTTATGTTTCTCTTATAGAATTGACTTTCCGAGTTAAAAGATATATGTAGATCACATATTGCCCTAGATGCATTAGTTCACTTTGTTATTCGCGCTTTGATTTTTGAGTAACATCTTTTCTTCTATCTCACTTTTCCTATGCAAGATTTCTTCCAAAAATCAATATTGTTCACTCTTTGGTATCTCTTGATATTCGTTATATGCTACACCTAATTTTTTTTTGGGGTCAATTATGCTATACCTAATTAGACTTCTATTTTTACTCAACTTGCATTCTATTGATTCATTTTTAGTTTTTTTGTTTGGAAAATATCTTATATCTTTTTAACTCTAATACTCCTCTCCAAAATTCCTAATCAAAACAAAAACCTGAAGTAAGTCTACTATGATTTGGGAATTCACTAGTCTATTATTTTGTTATTCTCTCTAAAATCACTGAACTCGAAATGATCAGAATGCTATCATATGTCTTCTCTAAGTTTAAAAATCATATGGAAGTCTTTTTAATTTTTTTAATTTTTCTGGTTTCCCTTTTTATCGGTTCCCTAAGTAAGTGTATAGTATTCATTGTTGACCTCCCTTTGGAAGGGTATTACATCAAACTTTTATGCTATCAAATAGTCAAGTTGCATACATAAATTTTGGTTTGTTCATCTGGTCTGGACTGGAATGGTCATATGCTCTACTTTTCCTTTTTATACAGGGGATTTGAGTGAGTACCAATTGTCTCAATATTTTAGTATTTGCACTCATATGATATTGTTCTCTCATTCACAGTTGGAAAGATTTCACGACGTGTTTCGCTTGTCCATTACCCTGAGCCTACCGAACTCCAAAAAGACAATACCAAAAATCTGAAACAGCTGTATCAGAGGTCTTCTGGAACTTTTGCAACTCCTACTCAAAATCTTAGACTGAGTAACTCACAATCAGCTGGTGGTACTGCAGCCTTCTCACATAGTAGTAGGCCTAGGAGTTCTATGTCTGGAGCAGGGGAGCTATCAAATCCTTCAAAAAGAAGACATGTTGATGGGCCCACTAGATCCATTGACCATTCTGCTCAAGATTCAGGACGGGGTCTCAGTGCAGTTACTTCTTCAGGGTCCTTAGAGCATTCCCAAGAAAAGAAATCAAAGAAGAAAAATAAAAAGTAGGACTAAGGTAATTTATACTACAATTTACCATTTATCATTTGTACACTTGACCCATACTACGAGGACTGAGGATGAAGCATCGGTCTCTCAGCACTGAATATTGATGCTGTCTCTGGTGCATGATTCTGAAATTGTTTTTCATATCCCTATTCGGTGTTTAGGCAAGATGTAATTGTGGAGATATTGCCATTTGATTTGTGTTTTCATGTCATTGTTGCTTTTGTATTGTGTCGCTGTGATTCTTAATTTCCTGTGCACTTGTTTTTTCAAGAGTCTAATTTGCTTGTCCTGATCTGTTGTAATGTTTTGCAGTTATCTTCATGCACTTCTAAAAGCAGCTAGGGTGCATCTTAGTTTATGGTTGGACGTTGAAGATGACTGTTTTTACCATTTATTAAGTCCTGGACATGGTTGATTAATGCTTACTTGAGTTCATTTCAATGGTAACTGTGGATATGAGAGCATCAAAAAGTGATTATAGGAAGGGAATGGAAAAAAAATGTGAGTTTTGCGCATCTTGAAGTTGCATGTGTGGTCACTTGACTTGCATGCATATGGAATGCAACATGTGTTCTGTTCTTCCATCTTAGATAATGATCATGGAGAATGCACACCACTTTTGGAGCAATCTACCAATGACCACCATGACTATGATGACATAACTGTTCTATTTATTGTTGTTTCCCTTGTTTGCCTGGTGTTGGTAAACGGAAGAATTTTTACTACTTTTTTGGGTCATTTTTCCAATAGCCTAGCACTATATGAAGCGAAAACTACTTTGTTTCTTATGGCTGGTTTGTATTATTCACTCCTTGTTATGGTGGATGATTTTTTTGCATGCTAAAATTTTGGTGGTGGCAGGCATGGGTGTCTCTGGGGAACCATTTGCCTATCTGAAGAAAAAGGCTATATGGAACCATTTTCTGAGAAATTTTGAGTTGGAACTGGTCTCACCTTTTCCAGAAATTGACGGGAATGCCATGGTTGTGGGGGTAAAAGGGGAGATCATGGTTCGGTACAAGCACGAGAGCTCTCTGTTGCTAACTCGAACACTATGGTTGTCAGATCATTGTGAATGTTTTTGCAGTTTAAATTAGGCACTTGGCCTCTAGGTTACCATGACCCCCATTTTAAGGTGCTGATTTAAACATCCATATCTTTTCCTCAGTATGTGTGTTTTCAAATGACTTGTTTCCATCGGATACTGGCGATTTCATTTTTGTCTTAAAATTAGGAAACATGGTTGTTTTATTTTCATAATGCTAGTAATACACAGACATTGGTTTTGTTCAGTTCTAGCGTCCAACAGTGGTGTTCTTGTTAAGTTTGATTCTACTCGATCTCATGCAATAACAATCTGATAATCCCAGCGTTGTCAATTTAATTAAATCTGGGGCCACAGGCATGTACAGAGTCATATGCAATATGGCACCACCTTGGAAAATGTGGTAGATTCACCTCAATTGACAAGCCTTTAAAGATTGTGCAGCTGCCATTTTAAGCCTTTGAGCCCTTGCCCGTTGTATGCACATAATGTTTCGAGAAGGGGGAAAGGAACTCATTGTTGGTGGCTGTTGTGCAACTTCTGACTCCCTGGCTTTGCTGAGAAACTGATAGTAGCCTAAGATATTTAAATAATTAATCTTTGACACCATCAGGTTTTTTGGTGTATCTTTGTCCTATGAAAGGAGTTGGCTTCAATACCGAAAATCAAAACATAATATAGCGTTGACACCTGTATCCATATAAACTTATCAAAATTTATTACCGGTTTAACTGGTATGTATTTTAAAAGTAAATACAAGCGCTACACACTTAAAAAAAAAAGATAAAATAGAAATTAAAATTAGTTTTAAAAAATGATAATTATTTATCCGATTTAAACCTAAATAAAAAAAATAATAAAAAATTTTCAATAGCTAAAATTAATTTTAAAAAATTATAATTATTTATCATATTTAAATGTGAAATAAAAATATAAGAAAAATTTTACAGTGACATTAAATTTTAAAAATATTAGAGGTTAGGATTAGGTTATTAATTTTTTTTTTCTTTTTCTTTTTTAAAGGAGTACTATTTTTTTTTTTGGGGAGGGGAGGGGAGGAGAAAGAGGGTTTGAACCCTTGACCTTAAGAAGGTAAAGCCTTCATAAGGTAAGGAGTACATTGGACCAAAGTTCATTGGTAGGATTAGGTTATTAAGTTTACAAGGCTAAATTACAATTAAAGTTTAGCACATTGCTATTATTAAAATGTTACATTATCACAAATTTTTTTGGGTAAAATTGCTATTTTTTGGGGTTATATTTTGGGTTAAGGTAAAATTATTACAACTTTTGTATTTAACGCTAAATAAATTATAAAAAGTTATCAAATATGTTAAATTAAAATGAGTAAAATAATTTGGGGGAAAGGTAAAATTATTACAACATTTGTTTTAACGCTAAAAAAATTATAACAAAGTTATCAAATATGTTAAATTAAAATAGGTAAAATAAATTGGGGGAATATGAAATTAATTAATAGTTGAGGATGTAATATATGAAAAATATGAGGCAAAAATTGAAAAAAAAGTGAAAATTTTGAGGTATAAATCTGGATGTTCAAAGGAACAATTTTGATCGCTGGATCCAAGTGTGATTGCTCACTATAGCGATCACGTTTTCTTCTATTCCTGATCGCTGGATTCAAGTGTGATCGCTCACTATAGCGATCATGTTTTGTTTTATTCGCAATCGCCGGATCCAATCCCCGGATCCAATCGCGCTATCTGGATCCAAGTTTAATCGGTCACTAGCGATCAAACTTTTTCTTCTATTTCCCCCAAGCACAGCAAACTGAAAACCCAACTCCTCAAACCCTAAATCAGCCATCTAACTCCATATCTAACCTTAAACCAGCTATCTAACCCCAAATCTAACCCTAAATTAGCGATATAACCCCAAATCTAAGCCCAAATTCGTGAAAACCCATCCTGATTGCATACCCAAAACCCAAAATCAGGTGAGTGCTTCAAAGTTTGGCGCCCTAATCGTCGCGAAACAGCCTGTATCGTGCTTTTCCATCAGAGAAGAGAGAGAAAGATGCCTGCGACTTGGGTGTCGTGGTTGTTTAACTTGCGTATGGGGTGTATATTGTCAAGAGAATTTGGCTCCTCTATGGTAGTTTTCTTTTCTTTCTTTTTTTTTGTTTAATTAGCGAAAAAACAAGTTTATTTCGTCATAATTTTTTTATACATAGTTGTGTCTGTCTCTTTGAATTTCATAAAAATTTTTGTACAAATAGTTGCATAAGGGATGTGTTTTGGGGTTGAACGAATTATGGTTTTGTGAGTGATGGTTCAAGCAATCCTATCTTCCTCACATCTTCAATTGTTATTGCTCAAAATAATTGATAATTTTCCATGTTATTGCTTTTTTGAGTAGATTTTTTTTTTGTTACAGGAGAATTACTGGTAGAAAGAAATATAGGCCAAAAGTTGTGGATACCAGTGAAAAAATGAAGAGGAAGAAAAGCTGTAATGATCCTCCCTCCTCCTCCTCCTCGAAGAAGAAATGTAATCATCCTTCCTCCATGGATCCAACTGTTGATCCCACCTCCTTCAATCCAGTTGATCCCACTGTTAATCATCCACCAAGTTCATCCAACCCTAATCCAAGTTTATCCAACCCCATATGCAATGAGGAAATATCTTTCTTCAACAAAGATTGCAAACAGTGGTATGAGAACTACATTAATTATAGGCCTTTGTTATTGGAGAGGGGTGTTTTACTAGATCAATTAAAAGAGGTAGGATGTGATGTTATTTTTTCTCTTCATCAATGGAATTCTGCGGTAGATATCAAGAAGATGGATAAAACATATAATACATTGGTGAAGATATTTTATTCTAATATGCATGATATTGATAGTGATGATTACAAGTTGAAGTCCCTTGTGAGGAACATAAGTTTTGAAGTAACTCCAGAGTTAGTTTCAAAAATATGTGGAGTTTGCCGACCCTTCATTTCTAATAATACCCTTACCTATCCATTCAAGAATTTTAAGGACATATCTAAGCTGAAAGATGTTAATGCAGAAATTGAGGGTATACCTAATAAATTTAGTGAGAGTGTTGACGATCCAAAATTTTTTCAGCAAGACCTTACTCCCAAATATAGGATGTTAAATCTTATAGTGGGGTACAATATTATACCAAAAGGACATACTGCTAAGTTTGGACTTCATCGAGCTCATCTCTTGTATGTCATTGGAAAGGGTATATGTATAGATTTACCTTGCTTAATAGTTGATGAAATTATTTCGGAACAAGGTATAAAGGACAGGCGATGATGTCTCCCATTCCCAATTTTGATTTCAAAGATTATGGAGGATTCTGGAGTTGTGATTCACTCAAGTGACACTTATTCCACTCCCATGAATCCAATTTATGGTGGGACAATAAAGAAGAGTTTGGCGCAAGGGAAGAAGAATACAACTCAGCAACCGCAGCCACAAGTCGAGAATGAAGTTGAAGCTAAGGATGATGAAGCCCAAATCTAGGATGTCCCAAATTCTTCAACCACTGGTGTACCAAATTCTTCCACAGCTGGTGTCCCAAATTCTTCCACAGATGGTCTTCCTCTTGATGCATTGCAAGTATATGGAATATTGTTGGTACGATTGGGTAGAAAGATGGAGGAATTTGAAAATTCTCAAAATGAAATAAAGGATACTCAAAATGAAATAAAGGAGTCTTTGAAGAGGATGGATAGTAGGTTGGATAGAATTGTGTCTTTTTTTATGAAAAGCAAACAAATAGCTTGGAAGTGACAATTGTATGTAATTGTAGTTTTTGGTTTTTGATACAATAGTTGAAGTAGCAGTAGTGACAATTGTATGTAATTATAGTTGAACTAGCAGTAGTGTTTTTGTCAAAAATCTAAAATATCTTTGTTCTTTATACATAAAATGAGAATAATAATGATTGTGATAAGCATGGTTGTGGTAATTTAGTACTAAGATTGCTGAGCAGTTGAAAATTGGAATGGATTGGTATGCTGGGATAAAGATGGCAGGATGGAGCTGGTGCTTTGCTACAATATGTTCTATGTACTGGTGCAGTTGACTAAGCAGCTAAACTGGTTTGGTTTGCTGGGATTGAGTTGGTAGGATGTTACTCAGCAGTTTCAGGAATGTTGCATTTGTACAGAAAACTTGTTTTTCTTTGTTGTTCTGTTTTCTGTTATAAATTAGAAATATAGTTTTCTGGTTTTTCAGTTTTTATGTTAAAACATATTATGTTTTTTCGGTTAAACAGTTTATGTGTTTTTTTTTTATTCTTGTAATTTTGAGATTTATGTAATAAAATTAAAGATTTAAAAAAAAAAATCCCTTGATCCCACTATTGATCTACTGCACCTATCGGTGTGAAGCTATTGATAGCTACTCTTGGTCACCTGATCCCAATCTTGATTGCAAACCTCACTTGATCCCACTCTTGATCGATTAAGGATCGCTAACCTCACTTGATTCCACTGTTGATCGCTAACTTGATCAGATCCACTTGATTGATGGCAAACCTGCACTTGAACCATTATCAAAATAATGGTAATAGTAACTAAATAATGGTAATATTAACAAAAAAAAAAGTGGTACTTCACAAAAAAAGTGGTAATGTTGTAATGTTAACCAAAAGAATTGTAATGTTAACCAAAACAATGTAATCTTAACCAAAAGTAATGTTAACAATGTAATGTTAACCAAAAAATAACCAATAAAATGGTCCTACCTCAACATGTAATCTTACCTAAAAGAGTTGTACTCTTAACCAAAACAATGATAATCTTAACCAAAAAAATTGTAATGTTATCCAAAACAGTGGTACTCTTAACCAAAATAATGGTAATGTCTACGAAAATAATGGTAATGTTAACCAAAAGAGTGGTACTCTTAACCAAAATAGTGATAATCTTAACCAAAAAAGTGATAATATTATCCAAAACAGAAGTATTCTTAACCAAAATAGTGGTAATCTTGCCTCAAATAATGGGCTTTTTATGAAGAAAATGGTACTCTTAACCAAAAAAATGGTATTCTTACCTCAATAGTGATAATTTAAAGAAAAAAAATGGTAATCTTAATTAAAAGAATTGTAATGTTAACCAAAAAAAGTGTAATCTATTGTATGAGTAATGTTAACCTAATCAATGGTAATGTTTACCAAAAAATAACCAATAAAATGGTCTTACCTGAACATGTTATCTTATCTAAAAAAGTGGTACTTTTAACCAAAATAGTGGTAATCTTAACCAAAAAATTGGTAATGTAATCCAAAATAGTGGTACAGAAACCAAAATAGTGGTAATGTTTACGAAAAGAGTGATAATGTTAACAAAAAGAGTGATACTCTTAACCAAAATAGTGGTAATCTTAACCAAAAAGGTGATAATATTATCCAAAACAGAGGTACTTTTAACCAAAATAATGGTAATCTTGCCTAGAAAAATGGTACTTTTATGAAAAAATGGTACTCTTAACCAAAATAGTGGTAATCTTGCCTCAAATAATGGGCTTTTATGAAAAAAATGGTACTCTTAACCAAAAAAATGGTACTCTTAACTCAACAGTGGTAATCTTAAAGAAAAAAATGATAATCTTAATCAAAAGAATTGTAATGTTAACCAAAAAAGTATAATCTTAACCAAAAGTAATGTTAACCTAATCAATGGTAATGTTAACCAAAAAATAACCAATAAAATGGTTTTACCTGAACATGTAATCTTACCTAAAAAGAGTGGTACTCTTAACCAAAACAATGGTAATCTTAACCCAAAAAGTGGTAATGTTATCCAAAATAGTGGTACCGAAACCAAAATAGTTGTAATGTCTATGAAAATAGTGGTAATATTAACGAAAAGGGTGGTACTCTTAACCAAAAAAAATTGATACGTTTACCTTAACACGGTCATCTTTCACTAAAAAAAGTGGTAATCTTATCAAAAAAAAGGTAATCTAACCCAAAAAAACGTGATAATATTGCCTCAAAAGATTGTTTATTCTTTGTATATAAAATGAGCTTGGTTTTTGTGGAAATGGAGCATTCCTATAGGGAAGGAAATGCATTTGCAGACTCTTTCGCCAACCAAGGAGTCTGTGACAGTGCTTCTCATACTCATACTTCCCTTTTCACTCTCAATCTACATACGAGACAACTTTTAATGCAAGATCAATGACAAATTAAATCGCTACGGTCTAAGATTAAAGTTCTCTATAGATTCAACGTCAACTTAAATCTAACAACGTCAAAAAATTACTAAACCAATAAATGTCGAACAGTAAAAGTATTTTTACAACAAAGGTCTTTCGCTTTAAGTAATCTGAAAATGTATTTGTTGCATAGACTGTCATGAATAAAACTTTTCATTGTATGGAAAACATATCATGGAACACCAAATTGTTACCAGCACATTAACTTAACCCTCACCGACATATTGATTGGTTGTGTTTAATGAGGAAGATACTACTATCACAACGACAATGAAAAAGAATGTCAGCATGCATAATGTATAAGTTTCATTTAATACATAAGTTGAATGGTCAGTAGGAATGAGAATGTTATTGGTGTGTCAGCACAATTAAGCATGATCTGACAAAATATCATCCAGGAAGAAAAGTTAATCCAATGTCAGGGGAGTCAAAAGTACAAAGCTTAGAACAATCAGAGCAAGGAAGTGTCCCTTCTCCAGTAGGCAACCTCCTCTTCTCCCACCCCTACTGCCCCAAAGTCAAACAACTTGATAGGGGAAGATGGAGAAGACATGCTAGAATTCAAGCTGCAATGACAAGGAGCAAACTTTGCACAAAAAAATCAATATTGGGCATCTGTCAATTACCAGTAGCTGTTATTTTTGGAATGTTGGAATGCTCAAAATAGCTGCTACTGAAATGGGCTGGAATGCTCAAAATAGCTGCTACACATTGCTCATCTTGGCTCTCTTAGCTATTGTTCACGTGACTGCATCGAGGGTAAGGAAAATACTTCCCCAAAGCTAGGTTTAATTTAATTTTTAATCAAAAGGGTATATCTAAGTGAAAAAAAAACTTGGAATGGAGAATGTAAATTAAACCTTTTCATCCAAAAGACAAAAAAAGTAAAATTTCATCAACCCATCTTCCTCCATGATCTTGGTGCCCATTGTGATAGCATAAATTTATGGTTAGATGACAATGGTGAAAAAACAAAATTTGTGGGATAAAATTTATAATTTTTGTAATTACCTCCATATTACTGAAACTAGTGTTGATGTATTGTGATTGAATGGTAGAATCAAAGCTTGACATTCCATCCTAAAATAACAAGGAATGAGTACATATGAAAAAAAATATAAACATCCAAAGAGTATTATATGAACATGATAGTTGAGGATACCCTCATTGACAAAGGGAATGCAATGGTCATCCTTTTTCGATGATGGCATAGATTGTTGCGATCCACCATGCTGTGAAAAAGGCATGTGGGGCAGCTGGTCTGATCCACTAAGTTGTAAAAAGGGAATATCCCGTGGTTGCTGTGATCCAACTGGTTGTGAAAAAGACATGTTCTTGAATGGATCATTGGATTGAGACATCAAGAGTGGACATTTTCTAACAGTATGGCCAGTGCCCCTGCATTTACTACATCTTCGTGGGTTGATTGAAATATTCTTTTGTGCACAACTATGAGTACCCTTGGTTTTTACAATCTTTGGATCATTCACACCGAATTGTGTAGTCATCACATTTGCATCGTGTTTGCCAAGTGACTCATGATGGGCTTTAAGAAGAGAAGTTCTTTGTTGCACCATACTCCTCAAGTCATTTGAGTCTGAGAGCGATTGTGAAGCATAATAACACATTTGGCTGCACATTGACATAAGTCCAGCATAACGCGTAGGAATTGACACATCCGGTTGCACATTACCACATTCGTGTGCACATGTATACCCAACTTTTGCTTTAATGGTCCACCTGTCCATCACCATGGAATGAGGAAACTCTTGTATGTGCTCATACTTCATGACCACGATCATGTGAGAGCATGGAATCCCAAAAGACTCAAATTTCATGCAATTGCATTTAAACGCATGAATTTGAGGATAATATTCCACAATCCATCTTGATTGTGGTTTTGTGAGTCGAGACAAATAGTAACTCCGATGACTATCAATCGCGATCTTATCCACGACAAAAAATACAACTTCTTCTTGTATATTATCACGGACCTTGAAGAAAATCTTTCTGGTAAATAGAGTAGCAGCATGTTGCTCTAAGCATCTAAGTGCTATCTGCATCACTGGCCTAGAATGTTTCGA